AAATTTTATTTTAATAAGATTTTAAGATATCTAGCGTTTCTAAAAAAAATTTATGGGCAAATCAGCTCTTTAATTCTATAATAATAAGCCATGCATGTCAAACAGTAATGAGGCCCGCTTGTAATAAACATAGGTAGATAATGGTGAAATAAATGGCTTCTTGATGGAATGGTGTTTTGCTCATCAAAAAATTATTTTAAGAAAAAATTATCACATTTATTAGTATAGGTGTTTAGTGCTTTTCCGAGAAAAATTTAGAGGAAAAAATGGTCTTTAATCTTAATTTTTTTTATATTTGCTTTTTTTTTCTAACATTGCCCTTAATTAAATATAAGGAATTTTTTTCAAAAGCTCTTTTTATTATGGTTTAATCATTTACTAAGAACATATTTAGAAACATCTTCTAATTCTTCCTAGAATTGTGAAAATGATATCTTATTTTAAAAAAGACATTTTACCCTTTAAAATAATATTAATTAATATTAATATATTAACTATATTATTCTAAGTCACTTTTCATCGTTTTACTCTCTAAAATTTTTCATTTCTATTTCTTGAAAAAAAAAGATGGATAAAGTATATTTTTAGTGCTCTAACATTATCTACGATTTTAATTTGATCCTTAAATTTTATGAAGTACCTTTTGAGTCCTTTAACTTTGATATAATTAGTTTTAAATGATTATTTTTGTGAATATTTAAAATTTTAATGTAAAAATTTTTTATGATGAACTAATGATATTAGGGTTAAATGAGTGAAAAGGCATTTATAAATTAAAATTAAAGGATCAAAATGAAACCCTATATAAAATTAATAGTCTTTGTTTTTAGCTTAGCTTGTCACAACGTATGTGCCGTTCAAATTAATCTCCTCAAGGGAACAAAACAAAAATATAAAAAAAATTATAAAATTTTTTATCCAAAATAAAATAAGAAAAATGAAAATAAGGTCTAAATAAAATAAGTATACAATATTGTCTAAAAATAAAAAAAAATATCAGGGGGATTGTTAAAAGAAAAAGGAAACAGAAACATCTAAAAAATATTTTTCTTATCATTTCTAAAAGGACTCTTTGACTAATTTTTTCTTCCCTCCAATGAATTTTTTTTTTCTGTTTTGGATTTCGATTGTTTGTTTTGTTCATTCAATTAGAACATCAAATAGTAGATTATTTAGATTATAAAATAAATAAAAAATAAATTAATTAATAATTAATAAATATTTAGATTATTTAGATTATATTTCACCAAAAAAGTACTTTTATTTTATTAACAAGAGAAAAGAAAAACAAACGACTAACTACTAGTAGAGACAAACTCAAGCAGCAGGTCAGAATGGTCTTCCACTACCCACAAGCAAGTTCGGTGGCGAATTCAGAATCACCAACTCCGACGAAAAGGTACGTGCTTCATTGGCCAGAGCATCCGCTGCCATGTTGGTTTCACGGTCGCACAAGATCGTTGCAGCATCCCAATCACGTTCAAACAAGCATCTAATCTTATGAAGCACTGATGCTTCAAAAAAGTAAATGTATCCATATTTTATATTTCTGGATAAAATACTTATAAGATACTTCTGTATATGCATCGTTGTATGATGCCATATGGTGTTGAATACTCGTATCACTTCTAATCTCATTTAGGACAGCAACGTCGTCCCAGTTCACGACCACCAGGTCCTGATCTTGGATAGCATCCACCACCTCCTGGCAATCACTTTCCACCATGATGTTCCTCATACCCCATTCCCAAGCCAGTTTCAAAGCCTAGAGAATCCCCAAAGCTTCAGCAGTAAACGCAGATCCACGTAGGAATTTCCACTGATGATTTCGAGCAAGACCCCCACATGCACCTATGCCAGACCTTGTACAAAAAGATCCATCGATGTTAAACTTCACTGTCTCCCCATTCGGTGGCAGCCATCTCAGCTTCCTCGACTCTCTGATATTAGGCTCAATCAGATTCGGTATACTCCAGCTTAGATATGCTCGTCACTCTTTATCTGGCTACTCTTAAAGATCCTCTCGTTTCTTCCCAACCAAATGTTTCTGCAAAGTACAGTAAACCAGATCCTCCATTCATACTCAACTACAGACTTAGAACACCCCATGTTCCACCTAACCATGCCATAACGTCGTCCGTAGTAAAAAATCTCCGTTTCCATTCAAGTACGACCAAATTAAGCCATACCTGTTAAGGTTGCAAAAACAGTCACGTAACACATGCAGGGTGGTTTCTTGCCCTTCACGACACACTTCGCATTCGCCAGACTCATGCATACCACGTTTCATTAGTGCTACGTTAGTTAATATTTTATCATTTGCATAGAGCCATAGAAGAACTCTACATCGCTGAGGTACCTTCAGTTTTCCAGAGATGATGCCAGCCAGAAGCTCCCATTCCCAGAAGCCTCCCCTCCACTCTGGTGTAAATAAGCTGATTTAAGTGAGAACCGACCATCAGAGGACCATCGCCATATCGGAGTGTCCGTGCGAACACCATGGGTCTTAACAGTAATGCAAGCGATGACATCTCGAATTCCGGGTGGCAAGAAACAACCAAACTTATGCCAATCCCAACTCCCGTCTTGTGTAACACAATCCGCTACCTTCTAGTCCACCACCTCACATGGAAGCTCAGCAATTACAACATTTGTTAGTTTACCAACTTGGGGAATCCACGTGTCCCTCCAAGAGGCAGCATATAGAACTCGTAATCCGAAGGACCTATACGTGCAATCTCTCTGTTCAAGCTCCTTTGCCACTCTGTATGGTCAACCATGGCCCCGCAGTCAAGGCAAACTCGAAATCTTCCTTATTCTGAAACTGCGAAAATAAAATATCCAGACCCAAACTCTAGCGTCTCCACCTCTCCACGACTGCCACACATCTTTTGGAGTTTGGTTCCCAAGTAGTCTTCCCTGACTATGTGATCTAAGAGCCGCACCGTGAGGATTTTCCACCATTTCTTCGCCAGTCTCTATGTGAACTCTGGTAGTACGATAATATTCTGTCCCTGTTCCGTTGTTTCAATCTTAATACGGCTCTTCCATCCTTCCCCACTCTACCAATCATCCTCTTCCTCACCCTCATCACTCTCCGAGTCACCTCTGTTGATGAAGGCTGCTCATACGACTTTTTTTGGCATAAAGGTTCACACGCAGAAGACTTGTCCTTCATCCACTCCTCCTCGTGGGAAAAGAGCATGGCTATCAGTAAGCTTGCCCTCTCCTGTACGTACCTTTTTACGACTACGTTCCAATGGGTCCGCTTCCTCCGTCGAGGGCACCACCATGCTCTCACCCCTTCCCCCTCACTCGTTATTTCCTGTTCTCTTTTTTTCACCAAAAAATAGCTAATAATATACTTTACCCAATGAAAAGATAGTTTCCAGCGTTATATTTCTTTTTTCGGCAAAAAAAAAAAACAAAAGTTATATATTTCTTTTAGAAAAAAATTAAGCATATAAATTATATTTAATTAATTTTATTAACAGTACTAATTTTAAATAAAAAATCATCTTTTAGAATTAGACTAGAATAAATTCTTTGAACTTGAAGAACTAAAAATTTCATGAAGTTTATCTTAAAAAAAAAGAGAGATATATAAGACTTTACAGTTTATAAAGATAATAAAATAAAAAATGTTTACACAAAAGTTATGAATCTCAACCCTAGAGAATCTAAAAGAATTTCATCAGACTTGTTTCTAAATTTTAAATTTTAAATTTGTGAGTGGTCTCAGCAGAATAAATTACAAGTTCCTCTTCATCATTTGCTTTGTCATCCAACTTTCTAAATTGTTTGATTTATCAATGTTAGAATAACGAAATATAAGACTAGAGGCAGGGGCAGAACCATTCTTAATAATTAGGGGGCCTAATTTTTTTTAAAAAAATAGATTATTAATTTTAAAGTTTTAACATTTATCATACTGACTGGTAAAAAAAGCATTTATCATACTAAGTTTATATAATATACTTATGCTCTCCCCAGTCCCTTATATTATAAGGTGCCTTCCAAAAATAAAATTGATCTAAATTATAAGATACCCAGTCTAAATATCAAATGATGCTCCATTATTTTATCCCTAACTATAACTTTAATAGCTTTTTGTAACTTGAACAAAGTATGGGTTTCTCTTTAATTAATAAATGAATAATTAAAATATTAAAGTATTCTTTAGAAATAAAATAATCTAATAATTTTTTTTCTTCGTCTGCTTGAAAAATATTGAGAAGTATACATAAAGAACCAAAGTGTGTGCGCGCGCGCGCCTGTGATACATGGTAGATTATTTTGATTAGGTGGGGCCGAGTTGATTTTGGAGGAGGAAATCAAATCAATGAATTACTCTCTAAAGTATTTTTTTTTTAAACTTTTTTTAACCTTAAATATAAAGGATATAACAATTTTTTAAATAATTAAATAATTTTATTTTTGTTTTGAAAAAAATTAAATTATTAATTATATATTTTTTCTATCATTATCATGATATTATTAGGAATAAAATTGAAAAAATTATTATATTTTTATATTAGTTTAACTGAATAATTAATATTTATTAATATGTAAGATTTAATTAAAAATATTTTATATATAAAGATAAAAAAAGTACTTTGGAGTGAGAGTCTGAGCCATGAGGGTATATACTATTACGGTGTCGTATTGGGTGGAGACATTCGATGACCACATAAGCCAACTGGCTCAACTTCTTTTATATTTAAGCTGCCGTAACATGATTCAAAGGCTTATTTTCATGATAATATCTGTATGTAGAGTTTGTATCTACTCGCATTGCTTTAACCAGAAATTTTTTCATGAATTATTACCAGAATATTTGCCCAATCCTTAATGCAAGACTTCTTCCTCGTGATTCGTTGGTCAACATCGCACTCGCCAATCACCCATTACGACGGCGGAGTCAAGCCGGAGGTCCGGCCGGGTTCCATCCGAGAACTTACTATTGTTACACTCTGTCATAGTGCACAGGGATACCCACTCGGGGCTCCGATTATCCTTGCGGGTCATTTGAACCTATCAGATTTTTCTAGTAACACAGACCACTGTGCGATGTCTCTGGAATTCCTCACTGTTCATCCGCACTGTTATAGATATCTCTGGAGCTTCCCATTGTTCACAATCATTTCAGCTGCATCTAATTTCTCTGAATAAATATCGCGTCAATTTAGCAGCGTCTAATTTCAAGCAAGCGTATTAATCGGCGCGATCCTCGGCGACGGTGAGCTAAAGCGGAGCTTCTTCCATGGCGGAGACATCGGAAAAGCAAGTGATGGTGGTGGCGATCGACGAGAGCGAGCACAGCTCCTACGCTCTCAAATGGACTCTGGATCATTTCTTCAAGCCTGTACCCAATCCTCTGTTTAAGCTTGTTCTTGTTCATGCCAAACCTTATGCGACCTCCAAACTCGGCATCACTGGGCCCGGTAGTGATTCTTTTGCCGTCGATTCTAATTTTCTTTTCGTTGCTTCTGTCTGATTTTCTGAGAAAACTGTAAATGCAATATTGTTGCCAGGAATGGCTGAAGTTTTGCCCATTGTTGATTCGGATTTGAAAAGGACGGCCGCCAGAGTTGTTGAAAAAGCTAAAGAGATTTGCCGCAAGAAATCGGTAATTAATAATAACAGCTTCAAAAATTCCTTCCTTTAAATGTCTCTAACCAGCCATGAAAGCTCTGTGCTGATCTTATTACACACACACACTCTCTCTCTCTCTCTCTTTTAAAAGCTCTGTGTTGATCTCATTTCGACGTTGCTGATCAGTCATGTGTGATCACAATCGGTTCTTCATTTTTTTTTTCTAGTCACTGGACAATTTCATTGTGATTTTAAAGATTTAATTCATTCTATATATGAATGATTTATAGATGTGTTTGTGAATGTATCAGCAGGTAACTGATGTAGAAGTGGCAGTAATAGAAGGTGACCCAAGAAATGTGATTTGCGAAGCCGTGGACAAACATCATGCTTCCATATTGGTTGTTGGAAGTCATGGTTATGGAGCTATAAAAAGGTTCACTTCCATTTCCTTTAATTTTAATTTGACACTAGCTAGAACTCAAGAATTAAGACTGATTATTGCTTCTTCTTCTTCTTCTTCTTTTTTTGTTTCAAAATATTTGTTATTTATGATTACGCTATGCATACAAAAATTTTTTTCTAAAAAATTATATTTCTTCTGCCATTTGGGTTTTAATGGAACCATGACCACATTTTTCCTGCCATGTTTTTCCTTTAAAAAACTGCTACAATAATGGCTGTACTTAAAAAGGCTGAACTATAATCGCATCAAAACTATAAAAATTAAATTATAATAAATTAAAATTTAAAAATTAAATTACAAGTAATAAAACTATAAGATTAAATAATTAATTTTTTTTAAGTTTTCACCATTATTTTGAATTTTTGGTAAAGTCTAGCGAAAGCTGCTTCTTGTGTTGGTGGTATTCTACTGGCATTTTATGTATTTTTATTTTATATTTTTGTTTAAAGATATTTTGGCTATAATTGTTATGCAAACATCATGAAGGTTGAAAGACAGTTAACATGAAAATCATTTTGAGGCTGTGATTTTGCAGGGCGGTGTTAGGAAGTGTAAGTGACTATTGTGCTCATCACGCTCACTGTACTGTGATGATCGTGAAGAAGCCTAAAAACAAACACTGATAATCTTTCTTTGCCTGCCTTTAAATGCTTCTCATTTGTACATATAAAGTGACAATACTTTTCGCAAAAAACGAATCCAATGTAACGCATGTTAGTATGTTACATTCTAGTGTTAGAGTATACTGTTGTGTTGTTAACTAAATAATTATTGTCTAAGCATATTCTTCTTTTTATTCAATAATAATAATAATAATAATAATAATAATAATAATACGTTATCTTGAAATTTAACTGAATTAAGCTTGACGTTCTTCTACAATAATTATATTTGCATCTGTTAAAATTTATATATGGTAATTATCCATGTCAAGTTAAATTATCTAGAAGTCTCATTTCCTCGCATGGTACATATAGGATTGATTGGCATGATATTATATAGTATGATACTATATACACAAAACCAAAAAGAAATTAAAAACTTTTTCTTATATATTTATTTGATTGAGTCAAATTCAAACATCTTCAAATTTAATTGAAGACAATTCTTTTAAAGGTATTTCCTATATTTATGCAAACTCAAACTTCAAATTTTATATTTAAGTTATTATAGCCCATTTCATTAGGATAAATGCCTGTTGGTGAATCCAGATATTTTCAGCCATTGACTTATATAAGAAAATGCTGAAAGAAAGTATAATATTGTCATCAGAAAATATGCCATCCGAAACCAGAAAGGCAAATGTTGGCTTACCTTGCGTGTGATGGGCTAGAGAGAAAGTGGGTTGGGTTGGGCTAACTATTTTTTTGTTGGGTCAAGACATTATCTTGAACTCAGTCAATCAAGGGTGGGCTGCTAAGTGCTGACCTACTTAGCCCTTCATAATTTTATTTTTTTAAAAATTAATAAAAGTTCATCAAAATAAACTCTTACATTAAATCCAATTGTTCAAGATGTAGCATGATTAAATTTAAGGGAAAAAACTTTCAAGAAACAAATCCACATAAAATAATATACATACATATATATATATCGCAAAAATTTAAAGTGCAATCCGTATATCCCATACGTTCATATATAATATAATAAGAAAGTATAACATTCATATGGTTTCATGTATGGTATAGTATCACTCGCTTCACATTTTGTGGGAAGCTAAGAGTGAAATTGATAGCAAATACTTTAATATCATTAGTCTATATTCTCATAGAGTTTGAGATAAATTTCATAGGGTATATTTATTTCATAAATTATGTACTATTGAATATATAACAAAAAAAAGAAAGGATTATAGGGGAAAAAATATCTGTATTAGGATTTGTACCGATATTTTTAGTTTTTTGTGAGAATTATTTTGTATATATTTTTCTGTTAATTAATCTGAACTCGAGTATATTAAATCTCTAATATTATTTAGGGTAAGACTTAATACCTACTATTATATATTTGATATATTTTTATTTGAATTTAATCAAAACAGATATATTTTAAAGTGTTAAAAATATATTAATAACTAAAATTTATTATAAAATAAATAATATATGAAAAAAAATTAAACGTCATAATTTAATTTTCTATTATATTGATTCCATTTTTCAAGAATTTGTGTTGTTGACCTTGGCAAAAAGGACAAGAAAATAAAAACAATTTGTGTAATTTATTTTAACAAATTTAAAATTCAGGGTTTGTGGGTCCTAACGATGAATTAGCCTGATGTGATGCTTGCATTGCAATCATCGTCCAAATAAATAAACGGCGATGAGCAACGGAGCGTAGACCCGGAAAGAAGGCCCGGATCCAAACCCATAAAAAATGAGCAATCATTCCCGTACGATGCTGAATCAGCGAATCCATCTTCCTACCAAGTTTTCAATTCGTCAAAACTACTTGGGGCTTCAAATTTGTAAGTAAACGTATGCCGAAACCAGTTTATTGACTTGAAACTCCACTCAATTTCGAAATTGGAGGAGGAGGAGGAGGAGGAAGAAGAAGAAGGAAACCACTATGGCGGGACATACTCACAAGGGATCCTTACTGCAATTCGCACCTATGCAGAGCTTGGTCGATGAAGGCTTTTGGCACAGATTGTCTTCTTTAAAGCTCAACAAGCTTGGCATTGATGATTCTCCAATTCCAATTAACGGTTCTTCGCTTTCCTTGCCCTCTTTACTTCTTAACCTTTTATTGAACTCAGACTACGTAGTTTCGGGTTTTTTTAATTACTTACCGAAAAAGGACAAATTAAGGACACTGGACCTGTCTGATAACTGTGTTTTCGTTTTATATTTTCAATTCTAATTTCAAAGTCTAACCTTTTGTATTTTTTTTTTTTAAATTTTATCTCTTCATGAGATTTCCAAACTAGCGTTGGATAAGGATTTATGCAATTTTTTCTTTTTCTTTTTTTAAGGAAATACAGATTCTTTTTGTCAAGTTTAACGCTGCAATTTTCACTGTGGGAACAAAGTTTGCCAGCACAATGTAATTTTGATCTTATAGTGTTGTTGTCTTATTGCAGGATTCTACGCGCCTTGCTCACATTCTCAGGTATCAAATCACTTAACTCTTCTAGCTGAGTCCTTACCTTCCGAATCAAGTGAGTCATTATTGGCCCCAGATACTACCAGTGGCAACAGGAATAGGTGCTCTGTTCCAGGTATACTTTACAATACTAATACTTGGGAAAGTTTCCATGCACTTGACAAACAAGGCCTCTTGAAGCAAGAAGCAAGAAAGGTAATTATTTATAAAGATATCTTTGAATGAGATGACTGAGAAATGAATAATTTCCTATGGGTTAGAGGTATTGATAAAACGAATACCAAGCCTTTACATAACAATTTAAGCTTTTGAGATGAAATAGTTCTTGGCATGGCATCAAACACTTTTTAAACCAATTGGTCTATGTGTTTCAGCCTAAACGGCTTTTGCTTGAGTGGCTCCTGGATATTAATTAATTTGCATGGAGAACGTGTTAAAGACATCAAAATCTTCTATCGAAAAAAAAAAAATCAAAAATCTTGAGCCCTTACATAACAACTCAAGTTTATAGGATTTAGTGGTTCTTGACCTGATAAAATTAAATACTCACGTAAGCTTATTCTTTTTGGGGCAAAAAAAAAAGATCTGGGAGGACATTCAAACTGGAAAAGCTGTGGAGGACTCTGCAGTACTGTCACGATTCCTTCTTATTTCTTTTGCTGACTTGAAAAAATGGACCTTCCACTACTGGTTTGCATTTCCTGCTCTTATGCTTGATCCTCCTGCAACTGTCAACTTTCTAAATCCAGCTTCTCAGTGGTTGAGCAAAGAAGAGGTGCTTTTGCTTTTTATATTGTTAATCGCATGTATGATTAGATGACCGCTCTTAAGTTACTGTTGGACTTGTTTCATTATAAAATGACAGGTAGAATCCCTCTCTGCAGCTTGTAATGAGTGGCGTAACTCAAGGTCAACAGCAGGTACATAAGCTACCATCTGGCTGATTTGTTGTAAATATTTATAATTTGTTGCTTCCCTTAAGCTTTTGAAGATTTACCTAATTATAATAGTATGTGGCAGATGTTCCATTCTTTTTTATCACCATAGATCCAAACTCTTGTGCTACTGTCAAGCACCTAAAGGATTGGGAGACTTCCCAGAGTGATGCTTACAAGGTCTTAATTCTTAAATTACAATAATTTATTATTGTCTTTATGGAATTGCTTTGTTCTGGTGAAGCAATTTCTCTGGATGTGAAATTATAGATGCATTTTGACTGAAAGTTACTTCGTTCTTTCCACAGACCCTCTTTGGTTTTTATGACCCATGTCATCTTCCAAATAACCCTGGCTGGCCTCTACGCAACTTCTTAGCACTTCTTTCTGCAAAGTGGAATCTTAAGAGAGTTAAGTTTTTCTGCTACAGAGAGAACCGTGGTTTTGCAGATATGGACTTGTCCCTTGTTGGTGAAGCATTGATTAAAGATTCCCAAGGTAGAGCTACTGAAATTATTTGACGGACTTGATCTCTAGCTGTTTATTTGTTTATTTATTTTAATTTAGTATGCTATCTTTCTAACTTAAAAGGAATATATGTATAGGGGGGAGTGATATTCTGCCTAATGCAGTTGGATGGGAACTTAACAAAGGGAAAAAAATACCAAGACGTATTAGCCTCTCTCAATCTTTGGATCCAACCAGGTACCTCATTTGTATTGTTTTCTCTGTTCTTTGTTGTGTTCTTGTTTTACTTGTGTCATTTCTTCTACTTTTTTATTTTCATACTTGTATCTTTACAGGTTGGCAATATCTGCTGCAGATTTGAATTTAAAGCTTATGAGATGGCGTGCTTTGCCTTCATTAAACTTGAGTTCCTTATCTTCTCTCAAGTGTCTTCTTCTTGGAGCAGGTACACTTGGATGCCAGGTTGCTCGCATGCTTATGGTGAGTATAGTAACATTTTTGGTTTTATTGTTTTCTCTTCTTCTCGAGGTGTTAAGCTTGTGAATGTTGCAGGCATGGGGTGTCAGAAAAATTACACTACTAGACAATGGGAGGGTGGCTATGTCTAACCCATTGAGGCAATCCCTGTATAATTTGGATGATTGTCTTAATGGTGGTGAATTCAAAGCTACAGCGGCTGTTAGAAGTCTTCAACGGATCTTTCCAGCAGTGGTAATTGGTTGGGCCCTGAAGCTTCCTTGATGCTTGACCCAAGCATTTTTTTTTTTTCTTCTCATATTGGCATGCTTTTTGGTTTTTCCAGGAAGCTGAAGGTGTTGTAATGGCAATACCAATGCCTGGGCATCCAGTACCTTCCCAGGAAGAGGATAGTGTAGTTGAAGATTGTAGACGCCTGTCTGATTTGATCGGTGCACATGATGCAGTTTTCTTATTGACGGATACTAGGGAAAGTCGATGGCTTCCATCACTTCTCTGTGCTAATACTAACAAGGTTAGTCAATTTAATCTTTTAGATGATATGCGTGTCATTGTCTTGCTCCGCATCTCTGTGTCACATTTAATTAACATTTTGAGCTGAAGCATATATCTTTTCCTCCTTAGCTTGATATATTTAATTAGCATGCCTTACGTGGATACTGTTTATCTATTTGCAGATTGCAATTACTGCAGCTCTAGGGTTTGATAGTTTCTTGGTCATGCGCCATGGAGCTGGCCCTCTCAGCCAAG